AGAAGAATCAGATTTTTATCAATTTGGTAAGAGTAAACCTAGATAGGAAAACATTCACTTACTTAGGGTAAGTAGGCTGGCTGCAGGCAGGACAAACAGGGATGCAGAAGGAGGAAAAGAAGCTTCACTGGGGCGGGGGGAGGCATGTGCCTCAGGAATGCTGGTGGAACATTAGGGGAAGACGTCCAACACACAGTTGGCTTTAGGAGTCTACTGCCTAGAACAGAGGTTTGGTATGAGAGGTCTGGCCTATGTATGGCAGCTGAAGCTATGCAGTAGATTAAGTAAGAGAATGCAAGGAGATGAGGGAGAATGGGAGCCTGGAAACAGTGGATTAAGGGGCAGACTGAAGGAGTTACAGTGAGAAGACCCAGCAGAACAGATACAGAAGCAGGTAAGAAGCACTCCTTGAGGCTACATTTGTTCTTTATTCTTCTCTTCCTGACAACAGAGAGAAATTAGAAGAAGTATGATGGAAGAGAGCAAGGATGGGGTACTCACAAATCTGGGTGAGATGGGACAGCAGTGTTTACTGCATAGGACTGAATTTCCACATGATGCAGCCACACCAAGAAGCCACATAGAACTTCTATGGTCTCTGACATGTCCACAACTGAGCTCCTCCTGTTTTATATGCAATTAACAATCACTGAGCAGATAGTCCATGTTGCTATATATGCTAGGAAAATGGGACAAAGTCATAATGATTTTCACATAAATGTCAAAATTATCACCATCATAAATGAAATTTTCACTAGAATGGAAGAACACAAACAATTTATAAAAGAGGAAATGCAAATGATTATTCACTTGATGAGAAGTCTTGAATTTAATAACTAATAAGAAAAATATCTAAAGTTCCTGAGAAGACTGAAACTGGAACCTAGCAGGGATAAGAGGAAGAGAGAGAGGAATGAACAGCAGCTGTTTTCTGTGATCTCCTGCCATCTTTCCACCTGTTACCTAACAAGGGCTTACAAATTATGGCCTATGGGCCAAACAGGGCAGCTGCCTTTTTGTATACAAAGTTTTATGGAAACACATACACAAATATCAGCAAAAAATTAAAATTAAATACTATTTTCACATCATAAACTGTCATTTAAGAATCTGAAATTCCTTGTTAAACGGAGTGCTATAAAACAAGCAAGCATTCTTTTATATAATCAACAATACCCCAGCTTTACTGGGAATATTTTATAACTGAAGAATGCTGCACATGAAACAACAAAGTTTATGATTAATAGATAAAAATAAAAATCAATTCAAGTGCCAGACACAGAAGAAAGTTTGAAGCAATTTCTATATACACCAGAATGGACTGCTAAAACCACAGAAATGTTTTTTACAAGCAAATTTAAACAACATGGAGAACTTTCTATAATAGGCAAGAGTAATTGGATATAAAGTTGTATGCAAAGTAAGAACTCAATTATGTGAGACACAGAAAATACATACAAAAGTGTGGCCATTAGGAAGTAGGGTGACATTTCTATATGCATACAGATTATCTGGATGATCAAAGAGGGGCACATATAAACATCTGGCAATCCCAGTCCAGACATAACATTGTTATTCTTGGTGCCAACTAACACAACATGGTTATCAAAGGCAGCTCAGTAAGCCACAGTTTAAATTGGAAGAACTTTAAAACCAAGGAAAAAACTTTTAATTGATTCTCTTCCTTCTTTCCTGTGTCCTGACAAATCTACAAGCATATTTCTTGACATTTATTCTGTGTTAGTTCCCTGCACCCTACTTTATATATAGTGTATCCCTGTCTTTCTTAGAAACCTATGAGATAAGTGAGAGCCAAAGAGGGTGTCAGTAGATTGTTCAAGGTCATACATGTAATTAAAATATGGAGCAGGGATTTGAGCCTAGAAAGTCTGACTATATTAAAAAGAAAAGTCTGCCAGTAGAAGTCCCTTTATATGAACCCCACATAGAACTCACACTTCCAATGCCTTCCTACAATTCCCACAGAGCTGGTGCTGCCTTTTGTTGCCAATGAGGTGCAAGAAGGCAAGAGTTTGCTTAAAGAGAGCAGTGAACACCTGGCAGAGTAGCTCCTCAGACTCTGAATCCACTTATTTAATACCTAGTGACAGGCTCCAGGAAGGATCCTGGCAAATTTCTCAAACCAGTGAGAAAGACCACCCCCATGTAAGAGGATGGAGCACCAGTGGGTACAGAAACTACCAGGGCACACAGATAACTCTCACTTCAGCTGAAATTCCAACCCATGTGTCCAGTAGAGGGGGATATCTGCCAAGTACTGCTAATGTCAAGGCTCTCCTCAAACTGCAATCACTCCTTCTGCACAAGAGAAAGCTGAGACACAATGTAGGTAACAAGAAATAGCAATCCCCACAACTGACCAAAAAAAAAAAAAAAAAGGAAAAGAAAAGAAATAGGCCACAATTCTCTGCAAGTCAGAGGCCATAGTTCAGAATGGCTATTTATAAATTACACACACACACACACACACACACACACACACACACACACACACACAGATATATGTATTTTTTGAGTATTTGTATGGGATGAATTCACATCTTAGAAAACAACATCCTGAAAGACATACAGAATGTTGTTGGTTTTATGGGGCTAACTGTTCAGAAGACGATTATGAGGGAGAACATGACTGAGCACTATAGAGCTCACCAGGCTTTCCCCCAGAATAAGATTAAACAAGCCAGCTGGCAGTGATCCAGGGTGAGAACTCACAATGAAGGACAAACCCTCACTGGATTTCCTCACATAGGAAACATGGATCCACCTGGCTCGATTTTTCACACAAGTACTTACATGACAAACAACAAGGGAAAGGATGTGTTTTTCTCACTTAGGCAAATAGTGGCCACTCCTAACAACTCAGACCTGTCCCTGCTGAGAATACCTTTACCCATGGAGCAATAGAAACAGCCCAGACTTCAATGCCAAGCCCATGTTGACAGGGCTAAACTTTAAGTAAAATCATGAAAATTTGGGTTCAGAAAAATTACATGTCATAAATCCTTTATTTTCAACATATAGAAAGAGGTGTGTTATTTATAATATATAGTATATATAATATGTTATGTATAATATATAAACATATTACCTATACATACATTTATAATGTATTTTATCTTATATATTATATTCTATAATAAAATATGTTATAGATGATTATATAATATATATAATAAGATATATAAATATTTATATATAATATGTAGTACTGTAATAATAATATATAAGTTATATATTCTATATAAATACATAATTTTTTTGTTCTGGCATTTGGGCTTGAACTCAGGCACTGTCCCTTAGTTTTTTTGTTCAAGGCTGGTGTTCTACTACTTGAGCTATAGCTCTACTTCCAGCTCTAAAATGTGATCCTCAGATCTCAGTCTCTTGAGTAGATAGACTTACAGGCATAAGTCACTGGCACTACGCTAGGAAACAGCATACACACATACATACATACATGCATACATACATCTTTATGTTTATTCTTTGCTGACCCTAGGCACTGTCCCTGAGCTCCTTTATACTCAAGACTATCACTCTACCAGTTGAGCCATAGTGCCACTTGTTTTTTTCATTGGAGATAAGAGTCTTACAGACTTTCCTGTCCTGGCTGGCTTTGAACTATGACCCTGAGATCTCTGCCTCCTAAGTAGCTAGGATGATAGGTGTGAGCCACCAGTGCCCAGAAATATTAATTATTTTTATTAATAGAAAATAAAATTATCACTACTAAATAAGTATAGAACGTCAACTTAAATACTCTCCGTTTGATAAGGTGCAAAAGATTAGCTTGTTCAGGACACTACCACATCTTCCCCATGATAAAGAGCTCTGTAACTCAAAGTGCTTACAGTTCTCATTTTTAAAGAAAGTCAAAGTTTCCTAACCTAATCAGTAGTAGCTGCTAGAACAACTTAATAAAACTTGCAAAATCAGCAGACCAAAATGCTACATACTAACCATCTTTCCTCAAAATCTAAACCAAAAAGGTGACCTTTACAATAAGATGTATCTTTAAAAATGTTCTGTGTAAGTCCCCTGCACAAGAAGACCCTCCTGGATGATATGTCCAGAGTCCATCCTAGCTCCTTTGGTCTGAATGCATCCCGGAGGTTACAATGTAATTCTTAGAGAAGCTGGGTGAACAGGCCTCACCTCCTGAGAAGCAGAAGTAGATTACAAGTTATAAGGACCATATTTAATTCCTTTCCCACTGCCTTGATTTGCTTGAATGCATACTTCAGGAGATTACTCAACCCCTACTGGTAATATTTTCTGGAAGTGACCTTTGTAAATTCAAATCTACCCAATCATAAATCATCTATTACTGAACCATTCCCAGCCTTTACCCTGGCTATCTTTCTTTCAAGTAATAAAATTGGGTAATTTGAACTGGCCGTTTCTTCTTCCCCTTTCTGAGAGAAATGATAACAAATGGTGGCATGGTCCATGGAGAAACTCAAAAGAAAAGACAACTTAAGATTTAAATTCAGGGGCTGGGAAGATGGCTCAGTGGTAGAGTGCATGCCTTGCATGCCTAAGGCACTGGGTTCGATTCCTCAGCACCACATAAGCAAAATGAAAAAAAAAAAAAAAAGCCGGAAGTGGCACTGTGGCTCAAGTGGTAGAGTGCTAGCCTTGAGCTGAAGAGCTGAGGAACAGCGCCCAGGCCCAGAGTTCAGGCCCCATGACCGGAACCCCCCCCCCAAAAAAAAGATTTAAATTCAAAACTTCAAATTTTAAAACTAAAGAGCTTTAAAATTCATTCATGAATGGTGACAGAACAGAACATGTCAGAGTTGAAGCATAGGAATTATAGCATTAAATTCAATACTGTTTATGAAACTTCAGTCTTTTATAACACTTTGCTGATGTTTAGCTGAAGGGTGTTTCTAGGCTAAAATAAAAACTTGTGCTGACCATGTAGGATCCAAAAGTTGGAAACGGTGTACTTTTTAATAAACTAAGCAGCTACTCACCTAGAAACTGCTGGCAATATCTGCAAAGTGCTGAGAATTCTCAACAAATAACTTCAGAAAAGTGCCACCTGGAGAAAGAATTTGAACAGAAAGATTAGATTTAAAACATACACATACACACATATACAAGATTTACCATGTGTTTTATATGTCATTAAAATATGTGATATTTTTTCAAATACTAGTCCCGTGGATCAATAGTTCAATTTGCATTAGGCCAGCCATTGCTCTGGAACACTGACTCACAAGCACAGGCCTAAATGAAGTTGGAAAAGGAGGCCAGCAGGAATGTGCAGCCCACAGAGCACCCGTTGTTCCCTTCTCCTTCACAAGGCAATCAACTCGAAACCACGTGTGTCCCATAGACACATGACCATGAACTAGAAACTATAGAGGACTCAACCCAGACATAATTAGGGAATGAAATGATGAGTGAGTCAATTATTCTAGCAGCATGTTATTCACTTTCAGTTACTCTTACTTATTTTAAAGCTAAATTCAAAAAGATATCAAAACCCAAGGAGCTGGAAAAATGGTCACTAAAATCATGACAGCAAAAAGTTGAGAAGAATTTACTTAATGATTCATTTACTTAGGAATTAAGTATTCCTTTTGGTATTTCACACAAGTTTGTGTGAAACTTGTGAATCAAATTTCAAAAGACAGTGAAAATTGGCTTCGGGATAATCTTCAGAAAAGTATGTCTATTAATACAGAGAGTGTCTTATTATTGATTTATTACATGTGGTTTTGACCAAGCAAGGTCAAAAAATAATCAAAAGGAATTTCAAAACCCAAAGATTTTAAGTTCTTGCACACTCATAACATAGTTCAGAAGTTCTCAGTCAGGCCTATGTCTTGATCAGTTGTTGTTAAATCATTGTGTGATTTGCTGTTTTCCAGCCCTTAACTTTGTTAAAAATATGCTTTCCTGAAGCCGGTGATGCCTAAAAGGCAAGGTAAAAATGAATGTACTTAATTTGAGTATAAAGTAAAAACTAGATTATTGAAAGGCAATGTGTCTGTAGTAGAAGTTGGGTGGCATATGGGGAAAAAATGAATCAAGCATCGAGTGCCAGTGACTCATAGCCAGTAAACTCTTACTACTCAAAAAGCCGGAAGTGGAGCTGTGGCTAAAGTGGTATCATACTAGCCTTAAGTAGAAAACCTCAGGGACTGAGCCCAGGCTCTGAGTTCAAGCCCCAGGACCGACACAAAAACAATAAAGAATCACACATCTGTGGTTTAGGTCTGAATTCTGCAGCCCTGCACATTCGTGTTCCCCAGCCCCCACCCCGCCCACAATGATAGTTTCCTTGGAATCACATATCCACAAATCTACTCCTGCACATTCCAAAAATAGGCACATAATAAGTATAGGTAGCCCGAGCCAAGATACTGAAATACTGCCACCATTTTCCCCACTGTCATATGCAACTATGCTTTTCTGACTTGATGGTTGTTAAACTTAAGAAGTTACATAAAAAATTACAAATATTTGTCTCTATTGTGTTATTTTTTCACCTTCATTTTTGCCTATTCTGTTTGGCCATCTAAACTATGGATCAATAAATCCAGACACTGTTTATACTAGCAAGCATCTTAAATAAAATTAAAACCACTGTGGTTTTGCACATTAAGGAGTTAAAAAGGTTTTCCTTGCTATCCAGCAGCTCTATTTGGGTTGTACGTCCTCTGGTTCCACTTCCAGAGAACAGGAGGAGAAACAATAGCTGCCTTTTGTGCCTGAGGCTGTACCCATCAGCACTTATTTACTGGAGTGAATTATTTAAAAAAAGAGGAAACACAGTGGTGAGACCCCTTCCTCAGTTATAAACTTCTAATGCGTGAAATGCCCCAATTTGAACTGTGTCATATTGCTCTGTAAAACTAGAACCAAAGAGTGAAAATTATTTTGAAAGTTACCAGAATACATTTCAGCTTTTTTTTTTTTTTTTTTTTAGAAAAAGGGGAACTTTGTAATAAACTGGCCCCATAAGTTGCCCAGTTTGCCTTGGAGGTGGGTTGAGAGACAGCTGCTGCTGCTCACAGAAGCCACGGAGGAGGAAAGTCTGAGTAACAGTCCTCAAACAGGCAGAGTCCTTTCCAGAAATCTGAGATGTTCACCATATCCATTCTCTGCAAGAATGGCAGTCCATGGCAGAGCATCAGGTTACACTATAAGTAGAGAGTGGCTGGACTGTGGGTAGGACTGGCAGCAATTATTATTCCCATTTTTCAGAATAGAAATGCAAGCAACTTGAGCTGAATCACAGAGTCAGAATCCTAAAAAGATTTGGGCTTCAATCTAGGACTTCTGACTCCCAAGCCCAGTACATTTACAGCAAGGCAATTCTTCAACACCCAAGACAAAATGCTAGCAGCCATTGTACTTATTCAGCATGAGGTAGCAAAGATGGGCCCCAAAGACATGAAGCATGAAGCAAAGACCAAAAAAGATTAGCCAAGAATAAAACACGCTGAGTCCCACTGCTCTCACAAACCTTCTGTCTAACCAACAAGGACTCTATATTTTCTGCAGGAGCATTCTCAAAGGTTCTGTTTACATGAGTCAACTAAAGGAATAATTATCTGAGTCCTACTGACTGTGCTCTGGTTGACACAACAAACACTTGGGGACGTTTTCCATATTTTAAGGGCAGTACAACGTAATAAACACAAAGAGTAGTGGCTCATTTCTGTTTCCAAAGCATAAATTGTGGCTCAAAAGTTAGGCTGGAATTACTAAAGGGGAAAAAAAAAAAAAAAAGGATCACTGAAATACCTTCTCTGACAATTGGCCCAGGACAATCTCACTTGTGTCTAGCAACAGCAGTTCAACAGAAATGGGTCAGCCATTGAAGGATTGCTAAAACCTGCCAGGTTTTCAAGGAAAGATATGAAAGTATCAAATCTCATGAACCTGTCCACCAAGCACAGAAAGCGGCCGGCTGCCAAAGCCTAGACTGTATTCACTCATGTGAAGTTCTGGGAACTTGACCCTCTATAAAGACTGCCCTGCCACTCAGCCGCAACGGTGAATGACTCGATTTCAACTCTCCAAAGACCTTGTGAACTCTCTATGTCAAATGCTGCTAATCATGAACACTTCCTTTTACTCTTAAGGATGGAAAAACTCCTCCATCCAGACATTACCATGTCAACATGAAGCTGTTAGAGAATAAGTTTTAAATGTACTGAGTATAACAGAAGAGCCTACAAGTCAACTGAATTTTCCACATTTTAACACCCCAGGTTTGTGCAGCAAAACACTGCTACTGCTATTTACAGAGTTAAGATTATACTTATCCACATAACTATTACCCTTTTCCCGATTCTAATTACTTCTCCCTGTATCTTACGCACATCAGTGCATTGCCTAGAACAGAGTTCATGTTTACTAAATAAAAGGTGGATGACCGCAGTAAAAACACTTCCTAAAGACTATCAGAAAATTCAAGCTATGGGACTCATAAGCACGAAGAAAATCATCATGCAAAGACAACAGCAGGTATGTCAGAAAGACGAAGAAAGTACGGGAAGCAGACTTGAGTCAGCAGACAGCAAAGGGACGCTGGGGAAATGTTAGGTTGCACAATGCAAAGGGGAAACCTCATGTGGGTGTGTTTCCAATTGCCAGCATTTGTCCAGTTTAGCCTTTATAAACTCCATCTGTCCTACCCTTAGATTAGGTAGGAAAGGAGAATGACAGGAGCAAGTGTGTGCAAACCTCCTCTGGATGACAATGGCCCGATATTCTTGTTCCTTTGCTGATCTAGAACATAGATGTTCAACCATTTTCCAGGATGAAAAGCACTGTGAATATACTCAAGCACCAGCAATATATGAGGCCCAGCAAACACTCTATCTGTTGAAGAACAGGGGACTTCAAATAAACAGACTGTTTTAGACAGTCCGGTGAGCGCAACACACCTGGGGGAGTGGACCAAGGCAGACAAGTGGCCAAATGAACAGTGTGAATGTACAGACGAGCCCTGTTAGACGTTTCTCAGCAGCCTATATTCCAAACCTAGGCATAAACTTTAAGCAATAACAGACCAGTGTTTCTGGAAAAAAAAAAGAAAAAAGAAAAGAAAACCAGATGCCAAGATTAAAATTAGAAATAAAGATCATTTACTCATTAAAATATTTCCAAATAGGATATTATTTATGGATACACACAGGGCCAAAGCATATATTCATCAAGTAGACCAAGTTCCCAGGCTGGTTGCCATTTCTAAACCCTTTGAAATCAGGAATGAACCCATGCAGTGTTTGCCAGAGACCCTGATACATCTCCAAGGGCTTCCACCCATGCCAATCGTTGAAGCCACCAGCACCATCTCCATGTGGAAGTCTGTCACCTTCACAGGGAAAGCTGGCTAAAGGGGCTCTGCCATCCAAACAAGCCAATTCACTACTTGGGAAATGCCTATCCACAAAGGAAAGAAACCAAAAAGAAGATAGATGCTAGGGAGTCTCTGCACCGAGGCAAGGCTGGTTCTCAAGATGAGATGGACATTTGCATCTGCATAACCTGCTTCCCTACCTATTACCTTTTTGGAAGCCTTCATTTTCCCAATGCCCTCAATCAAAAACTAGTGATTACACACCTGCCTTTGACCCTACACAGGCTAGACCAAGACAGACAGGATACTATTTGTTCCTCTCAGAGGATGATTTCTCCTTAATGGTTGTGGCTCAGAAACCCTCTACCTCCAGGGCTTCTGCATCTCCTTCAATGACCTCATAGGCAGGAAGATTTGGTGGCCATCATTTACCCTACATTGTGCAGGACTCACGGCTACCTCCTCCATGCATGTCTTTAGTTTTAGTCTATACAATCAAAAGCTTCTCCAAAGATTTCACATCAGATGAGCAGGTGAGACACAGTCAAAGAAGGGGATCAATCACTGCCTGGCACTAAGCCCTAAAGTCTTCCCATCATCTAAGGGCAGCTTCCAAATAAATTTCCAGAGAAATAAAACCACCTTAAACCACTAATTACTTGAGGATATTGTGAGTAAGCTTTTATCACCTTCAAAATTTTTTTTCAAGAAATGTCTAA